GGGGGAGGAGGAGGGAGGGAGGAGGAGGAGGAGAAGGGCGAGAGGAGGAGAAGGAGGAGGGAGCAGGAGGAGGAGGAGGAGGAGGGTAGGGAGGGAGGGCCGGGAGGGAGGAGGGAGGATGGGAGGGAGGGAGGAGGAGGAGAGACGAGGAGTAGGAGGGAGGGAGAGGAGGGAGGAGGGAGGAGGAGGAGGGAGGAGGGAGAAGGGCGGAGGGGGGAGGGAGAGGGAGGAGGGAGGAGGAGAAGGGAGGGGGAGGAGGGAGGAGGGAGGAGGAGGATGGGAGGAGGAGGAGGGAGGAGGAGGAGGGAGGAGGGGGAGGAGGAAAGGAGCAGGAGCAGGAGGAGGAGCAGGAGCAGGAGCAGGAGCAGGAGCAGGAGCAGGAGCAGGAGCAGGAGCAGGAGCAGGAGGAGGAGGAGGGGGAGGAAGGAGGAGGAGGAGGAGGAGGAGGAGGAGGAGGGAGGAGGAGGAGGGAGGAGGGAGGAGGGAGGAGGGAGGGGGGAGGGGGGATGGGGGGAGGAGGGAGGAGGGAGGAGGGAGGAGGGAGGAGAGAATGTATCCAGATCCACCGCCTGGGGGGTCAGTTTTGGGAGCCTCGGCAGGCGGTGGATATTCGGGCCCCTGGGGGCCGAAATATACCCATGTCCACCGCCCGCTGAGGCGCCAGGACGTCGGTTCCCAGGCGGTGGATATGGAGAAATCCCCGCCTCGCACAACATGGCCGTATGATCGTCGTCGTCGTCGTCGACGTCGCCGTCGGTTGGCGTCGTTGCTCGCCGTTCCCTCGTCACTCGTCGCTCCTCGGGGGCTCCTCGCTCGTCGCTCGCTCGGCACTCGCTGCTCTCGTCGGTCGGTGGTCGATCGTCGTCGGTGTCGGTGTCGTCAGCGGCCGCCGCGCGCGGCCGGGCGGCTGGCCCGCCACGAGGACGTGCTGCTGAAGTCGCCGGAGATCGACGAAGACTTCCGCCTCTGGAGGGGCCGCCGCCGCGGGCCGGCGAGCGGGGCAGTGCGCGCGCTGTAGAGTTCCATCACGGCGCGAGCTTCTCCTCGAAGGCGAAGAGAGCGGCATGAGCATGAGTTCTCGGCGCTCCGCGCGGATCTCTTGGATCCGCGCGGGGCCGCTCCTGGCGGCGCCTCCAGCGCCGCCCCTGGCGCGCTCCGCGCGCCAGGGAGGTGGGGTCCAGCGCAGATCCAAGAAATCTGCGCGAAGCGCCACAAGTGTATGTGTAGTTTTGTTCCGATCTTCCTCAAACAGGCCTTCCGCACTGTCGGACCGAGGTATAAGATCGAGGTCGGTTCGGGGAGGGTACCCTGATGTTCTTCGTGTTCGTTGGATGTTCTGGTGCAGGCCTGGGGAGGGCACCCTTGGTCGTTCTAGGTGTTTTGACCGGCGGAGGGTCTCGTGCTCTTGGAGGGTGTTCTTCTCTCCTGGGTCCGACTGTAGGTGGACAAAGAGGAAGTCTTCACTCCGCCTCGCTCATCTTAACTTGACTGGAATGCAGAGAGAGAAGGAGAGACGCACAGGCAGGCAGGCAGGCAGGCAGGCAGAGACAGACAGACACGCAGCCACACAGACACACAGACAGACAGACCGAGGTAGAGTGTGTGTGTGTGTGTGTGTGTGTTTGTGTGTGTGTGTGCGTGGCGCGGCCGGGCGGAGCGTATCGCAGCGGGCCGTGGCGTGCCGATCCAGGGCCGCCCCGACGGGGCCGGGGCGGACCCCCGCGCCGCGCGAGACGGCTGCATCCGCGCCGCGGCTTGCTCCAGTGTTGGATCCTCGCCCGCCGAGGCGGTGCCTCGGCGGTGCCCCTGCAGGCGACGCGGCGCGGGCGCGGCCCTCCGGCCCCCGCCCGCGTCAGCCCCGCCACGGGCGACCCCTGTGCCGGCCCACCTTTGGGCGCCCCCAGACCACGGTGTGGTAACAGACCGCGCGGGGACGTCGGAATCCAGCAAGACCTCCTCGGGAGGCCAGTTGCCGGTTCGTCCGAGGCTGGTCTGCGTGGGGGGAGCGCGCGCGCGCCGGCACCGCTTTCTGATTTCTTCTGCGCATTGCCGTGGCGCAGGAAACAAAAACAAAAAGCAAGACCTCCTCGGGAGTCCACAGTGGCCCGAGACGCTTGTTGGAGAACGGCACAACAAGCCAAGTCGCCAAACCGTGCAGGGGCCCTCCTCCGAAGGCTTGTTTTCGGGACCATGACTACCTCGGGTCTCCGGCAGCGGTTCGGGACGATCCGGGCAGCCCCAGAACGCTGTCGGCGAGGCGCAGCTGCTGGAACGCAATATACCGAGGCGTGAGAAAAGCCCGCAGGAGCCAAGGAAGACAGACAAGACCAACGAAGAGCCGTCGGGATCCCCACCCACAGGCTCAGCACGCGGCGTGGTCACCGCACCGCCTGGTGGCCCCCGGGAGAGCGGGTCGGACGGACGGGGGGGACAGGAAGGGGCGGGCTGCGAAGTTTCCAGCTCCAACCTCACGCCAGCTACTTCCCGACCCTGCCCTTTT